TTCTTATTTTCTTAATTCGAATAGAATTGTGCCAGTGTCCCCTCCCTTTACCCTTTCCAGTCTCTCCTATGTCCCCCCTTATGCTGCTAGCCCATTTCTTTGATTGTTATTGTTACATACATATAGTTTCATGGCTGATTACTCTGCACTGAATAACCAAAAAGAGGCCTTGGGTGAGGCTAACTCTCCTAGCAATCATTAGTTGTCTACAGTTTTTTTTTTTTGTCTAGGGGGAGACCCCCCAAATTTTTCCCTTTCACATTAGCATATCAGTTGATAATGCCCTAGTGCCAGCCTTCTTTGTGTAACCACTAGAAACCTAGCCGGTTTTTCAGGGCTAGTGAGATCTTGGATCTTAGAAAATGATCTCTTACTACCACTTTGCCAGACCAGTATAATTCCTTACTACAGTCTAATCTTACCCTTACACCTACAGGGAAGTGTAGCTACCACCCCTCATCAGAGAAACTTCTCTTGACAGCAAATGGAGACCATCACAAAGAACCACAACTGGACACAATGAAGAGACTGTGGGGAGCCCAGCACCAGTGGATACCTTTACATCACAGCTCCTGTATCTGTGGCTCAGGGAACATCATGGACGGAGATGGAAAGTTTGAAAGAGCCTGAGTATCAGAAGTCTGCTGTGAAACAGTCTCTCCATGGATAGAATATGAAAGGGCATTTGCAAATGCCTCTTACCTCATCAAGGAAAGGAAGAGCTGGCTATCTGCCGGAGACAGTGGGCACAGGGGAGGGGATTTATTCTCACATGAGCCTGTCTTTGACCAGGCTCAGCCATGTTTTGGTTCTGCCATCTTGATAGGAACTAAGGCCCTCAAGATGCTCCTTCTGTCTCTGCTTGAGAGGCAGATAGAAATTTCTCTGGCAACGTCATCTGAGCCACCATCTCCCTGAAGCCTCACCCACCTGGATGAGGATTTCCTGAGGGCCTGAAATAGTGAATTGTTAGCATTTAATCCTCAGATTTTTCACCCTTTGAGACTAAAGAACATGCAGCTGAGGACTCTGCATCTTTACCCTTTTCTTTGGCCCTTGGGTTTGTCCAAGATAAATATGGCAAACACATTAAGAATGTATGTTCCTTATCTTCATCTTGCTCCCAGGTAGGTAACAAGAGAATGACAGTTCCCGCCAAAAGAGTGAACAGCCCATCAGGTATTAGGGTCAATAGAAAGATGGCCACTCCCGGTTACTAGTATATTAAAACCACCTGCAGCCCAACCCCATCTGTTCTTGAGAGCATTTCTTCTGCCTTGCTCCAGATCATCCTGCAGGGCTTAGTGGTTCCTTCTGCCAGTCTTCTCAACAGTCGAGGCTCTGTTAGACTGCTCCATACTTGAGACACTATGCCAGTGTACAGCAAGAAGGCAGTGAGCCCCAGAATTGGAATTCTGAGCTCCTCTCCTGCTTGAGAAGCATTTGTTTTTGGACTCTATTTTCTTTCTTCCTTCCTTCCTTTCTTTTTTGAGGTGAGTTGTTTGTTTGTTTAGCTTTTTAAGAAATTTATAATTACTATGAGAGAGAGGGAGAGGGAGAGGGAGGGAGAGATAGAGGGAGGGAGAGAGGGAAAGAGGGAGAAAGTGAGCAGGTAGAACTCCTGTGGAAAGTCGAGGACTTTTTTCTTTTTTTCTTTTTTTTGGTTTTTCGAGACAGGGTTTCTCTGTATATCTCTGGCTGTCCTGGACTCACTCTGTAGACCAGGCTGGCCTCGAACTCAGAAATCTGCCTGCCTCTGCCTCCCAAGTGCTGGGATTAAAGGCGTGCGCCACCACCGCCCGGCTGGGCTCCATAAGTCAAGTTGCCCAAGTGCATCGTTCCAAATAGAAAGTCTGTACCAGCCTTTGCTATCAGAATGGGGCCAGTGGTTACGTATGAGGATCAGACTAGGAGCTGGGAAGCCTGTGTCCCTGTAGCATGGAATGGAGATTTGAGGGGAGATGAGTGAAGTCTTGAGGAAGGCCTGCAGGGCCTGGCAGGGCAGCAGCCCAGGCCTTCCTATCCAGACTATCCAATGGGCCTTTTCCTGGGCCCCTCACTCTCAAGTGGACACAAGATACCTAATGATACCCACTGAGCCATCCTGGGGCCCCAGGATGCCTGTTGTAGAGACAAAACCAGGCTATGTGGTCAGGGCCCCTAGCGGAAGTACAACTGAGGTCATGGGCAGACAATATCTGTCATGTGATGCCATGGAGAGAGTGGCAGAGGAGCTTGTCATAGTGACTGGGGCCCAAGTCCCTGCCAGTGGTGGATACCTCAGAAAATTCCACTGGGCTATGGGGGTGGATGATGACAAGAAGCAGGTGTGACTTTCTAGTCTCACTCCTAGGGTGAGAATCCTGCCACTGTCGCACAGTGGATCTAGCAAGGCCAAAAAAGATTATTCAGATAAGGCCTGGATAACATAGAACCTCCAGGCCCTCTGTGCTACAGGCTCTCGACAACTCTTGGTGGCTTTTGGGGCCTCAGCCTAGCCAAGGTCTCTGTTAGGCAGGCCTTAACTGAAAACACGTGAAGCTGTGGACTTGGAGATAGTAATCAACTCGCCTGTGGAAGAGGCTTCCCTGGGCTGGGCTGACGCAAATGTCAGGGGTGGAATCACTATCTCCCAGGGGGTTAGACACCACCAAGGCCCACGAGGAAGGGAGGAAGTGGTTTCTGTGATTTCACCAAAGCTGTTCCTGTAGATTAAGACCTCAAAGGAGACTCCCAGGGAAGCCCAGGCTCATCTTGATGAAATGCTATCATAGAGGTGACAGATACCAAGCTACGTGCAGCAGGGATAGCTGGGGGGCCCTCTAACAAGCACATTGGCTTTAGGAATAGGGTGTTTCATTGCCCCTGGTTTCTTGGACAGCAGCAGGTGTCCAGGCTTTCCCCTGGGAGCTGTCTGCACCACATCTGCCTCCTCTGAGCATGTCCTTTTTATCTTAAAAAAAAAAAAAACCAAAAACAGTTTCTTTTGTATGTGTGGTATATGTGGTACACACACACACACGGGTACATGTGTGGTATATGTTTGTGTGTAATGTATGCATATATGTGTACATACATATATGTGCACATGTGTTGTACAACTATGTGCATAGCCAGTGAGCCCTGTAATCTTCCTGCCTCTGGCTTACAGTGCTAGGATTATAGGCACACATGGCTATGCCCGGCTTTTAATGTGAGTGTTGACCCCCTGGCTGTCTTCCCAGCCTGCCATTTTTTTTTAAAATCACTAGTGTATAGTCCTAGTACAAAAGGGATGGCCTCGTTATGGTGTTTTCACAAATGTAGACCATAACCCTTGCTTGTACTCTACTCCCCCCATTGCCTCACACTTCCACCATTGCTGCTGGTGGTGTTTCCTTGCTACAACCCAGAACTGGGAGTTTTAAGGAGGCAAACATTACATGTAAGAGGGTTTGGTCACCACAGCTTTAAAATTCACTGTTTCAAATTTCCTCAACAAAAGCTTGCTTACATAAAAATAAAAACTTTCCTTCACTGAGGGATCACGTAGTACATGCACCAGTCCCTGAGATGCTTATACTAGAAGTACAGAGCACCATTGGAGAGGTCAAGAAACAAACCCTGGTCTCTAGGGCCCTCGGGACCTCTTCTGAGTTCAAGTCACTGGTAGATTTAAATCATATCACCTCCTATGTTACTGAGGGTCTTGTCGAAATGAAAATCTGAAAGTCAAGAGTGTAGTGCTGACCCTGCAGGCCTGAAGACCACTAGAAGAGGAGCAGAGCGTTAGTCTGCCTTTCCCTCGAGGCTGAGGTCTGTTCTATCTATGGTGCCTGCACACAGCAATTGCTTAACATAGGTTATTTGGTTGAGTAATGCCTCCGGGGCACCCAAACTGGTCTCCAAACCCCTACATGCTCCCTAGTGAGATTCCCCTTAAGTGTTAGAGTATGCTCTGATCTGGATCCAGGAGCCCCGTCTCCTAGTACAAGGTCTGCTTGGCTGGATGGAGTGTAAAAGGACTGTAGACACCATCTTTTCAATCACTCTTTGCCCTCCTTGCTGTCTCACCCTTATCTTTCACCATATTTGCTCCTGCTTTGAAGACAGAAGCACCCAGTTTCCCCTGCCTCAGCATACGTGCTTCATCTCCTCGAGCTGATCACATCACACCGCAACCCGATCTGGTGTCTCTACCATGCCTCTGCTTGCCTGCACCCCAGCCTAGTCATCTTGAAGAAATGGTTAACAAGCCTCATCACACCCATCTTTCACCAAAACTCCATCTAGCTCCACAGCTCCCAGTAATACTCTTCTCAAGGCCCACCTTTGTCCTTAGGTCCCCAAGCCTGTGTTATCAGGATAGCCTAGTGTTTGCAGCCATATCTCCCTCAAAGGTTTGGTTCTCTAGATGTGGGCCTTAGCACATTGCCTTACTGTACTGAGATTAAACCAATGAAAGAGTAGGCTGAACTCTATATCCACCTCCAAGGAATAAGGATCAATGGGAAAGCTGCCTAGAGACATACTTAGCTCTGGCTACCACCGGCCAGAAAACTAGCCCACACATGGAAGTTTAACCATGTGCCTGAATGCCTACCAAGTTCAAGTCTGCTCCAATGACTCTGGTGGCCACCTCCACCAGGTAGGGTGTACAGTCAGGGTCAAGTTTGCACAAGTTTGTAGGATGAGATTCCACCGCACAGAAAGCCCAAGCTGGCTCAGAGCCAGGCTACTTCCTCCCACCACCCGTTTCCACTCCGTCCATCTCTATGACAAAGGAAGAAGATGGCCTTTGAATAAGCAGTCTTTCTTCCCATGTCGATAATCTTGAGTACTAGAAAGTGATGAATAAGTTTGTGGTTTGCTATGGAGGTTCCATGTCAGATAAAGCTGCTTCTGGTGCCTGCCCTTCCCCCCTGCCCTGCCTGGCCCCGCCCCACTCCTCTCGTTGAATACATATAAAGTGAAGGCTCCTGTGGCTTCTTCAGAACCTCTTGGAGGACCAGAACAAGACAATGGTTCTTGCCAGCTCTACCATCAGCATCCTCTCCATGTTGCTCCTGCTCCTGATGCTCTTCCACCAGGGACTCCACGCTCCAACCAGAATGTTGAACTGCAGCTCTATTGCCATTGAGATTATGGAGAATCTCCCAGTGAGTAGCTGGCTGAGGTTGGCCTGGTGCAGGCTGGCTCCAACAGGTGCCTCAGGCCAATAAGACTCATGATTCTTTCTCCCTATGTCCCCACAGAAACTTGAACTCACTGATGGTGAAGACATAGCCAATCTGCAGGTAAGAGCCCTGCTTTTGGGCATTCTTGGGTTCCATCTATCACCTGCCTGGGTGACTTTAGCCATGTCACTCTACCCTGACCTGCTTCCATCTTTGCATCTATCTCAGTGGAGTTATTAAGGAAATTGTCAAATGACTATCCAAGCCTCAGTATATGCCACAGCCAGCTGCAAGAATGAAAGTTACATTTTAGGATATCCAGTCAAAAGACAGCTGTGGGTGAATCCTGCCACAGGCCTCTGGCCCCACTTTCAGTAGGGATACCGTGGACCAGCAAATGAGTTGCCTTCTGTGATTGTGACTTTTGCTTTTCTTCTTCCTCCAAAACTGAGTTTGTGTTTTCTACTTCCACCAGCCCCAGACATTACCGTTTGCAGTTATTTTCCTGGTTCTAGTTAGATACAATGGTTTTGTCTCGTTTTTATTTGTTTGGATTTAACAGGAAGTTGTTTGTAAGTGTGTTTAGTGTCTGCATTTCCCCTCCCTAGGGACATGTTGGAGTCCATAGGATTTTCTTCTAGGTATTTAGAAATGATTAATTAAATTAAAGCATTAACCTTTTGGTTTTTTGGCATCTTGGGCATAAGTATTTCTCTTGGCCAACCTTCTGCCTTTTCTAGAGCTTGTCTGGAGAGATGTGTTTTCCTCAAGTACAGACTGATCTGCCTAGATCCCTCACGCAACCCAAAGGTTACCAGGGGTTAAAACCTGGTGCTTGGGAGAAACAGGCCCTTGTCTAGGATGTGCACTAGCTTTTAGCCCCAGGATAAAGGAGGGACCAGGAATAAGGCTCTTCAAAGAAACCTCCAACGGCAGGCATACCTCCTCAGCTCTGACCTCCCCAGCTCTCACCTCTCCAGCTCTCACCTCCCTGAGTCTTACATAAAGATTCTTTGCCCTCTTAGAAGCCGGAAATTCGGAGAACAAACCTGATCCAATTCCTAAAAAGCTCAGAGACATATTTTCATGACAAACCCGGCATCCGGTCCAATCTTGAGGTGCGTGAAGCTGCTGAGGTTTGGGGATCCCTGCCTTTACCTTTCCCAGCATTTCTGGTGAGGAAAGTAGGACTTTCTCCTTTTTTAGAAGATCTGACTGTGCCTTGATGTTTCTCCACAGAAACTTAAGTGTTGTCTGCCTGCATCTGTGAATGTCTCTAAGGTAAGCTGTCCTTCCCACCACATGTTTTGCAAGTTGTGCTCCTGCCTGTGATCAGACTTGTAGTTTGCTATGACCCCCAGCAGCCTGTTCGCATCTAATGCCCTCTTTTTCGGTTCCTCTCAGAAGTCAGCCATTGGCTATGGTGATGAGGATGACTATAAGAAGAAACTGAGATACTTTATGAGCCAACTTAGAAATCTGCCACCAGTGCCAGTCTCTGGACCACCTCAGCCCACATCTGGCTCCATCACTTCTCACCTTGAGACCGAGGAATGTTAAAAAAGCAGGCAGAGCAACTGGAGTCTGAATGTTACTCATGGCCCATCCCCAGGAGGAGTTCACATTCCCTGATGCCATCAGATGTCTTATCAATTTATCTACTTTCTGAAATTTGCAACTCTCCTTAGGCCTTACCTAGTTATGTTCCTATTTTATTCCATTAAGGCTATTTATTTATGTATTTATATATTTATATATTTATTACCTTCTGCAATGTGAAGTATATCTGTTTTAGCTGAGGAGGAGTTTCTCCCTGTATTGAAAAAAATATTCCAAGGGAGACTGGGGGCATGTTGATTTGTCTCTCATGTTTTAAACAGGCTTTTAAACCCTTGTGAAAATAAATAATTTTGAATAAACATGTTTTGTTTTGTCCAGTTTCTTAATTTGACATCATCTTTGTAACAGTCCTATAGGATACTTGTCCAGATATCACAAGTGGCTACACAGCACGCAACATGTATCAGATCTTGGTCTGGACATTTAACCTGTACTATTTAATCTATTCTTCACTCCAAACTTGAATGTGTGATCTGTTTTATGAGCCGGAAGTCCAGTGTGGCAAAGTAAGGCCAAATAGCTTTTAAGTAGTGCCCCCCTCTATGACTTCATTCAGGCTCCTGGGAACGTATTGATAAGTACAGAAATCCACTAGAATGCGCCCCCTAGTGGCCATGCTTAGAACTGCAGCAGTGCCCCAACCTCTCATAGTAGAAGCCCATTCTCTGAGTTTCCATCTAAAAGTACTCTCTGAGGACATAGGTTACTCAGACCCAGAAATCCTACTTCTTCCAGAAGTCTCCATGCCTGCCTAGACTTCTGGTTTCTGTTGGTTGATTCAGTCTCCTTACCTCGTGCCTGACTCCAGACTGACCCTGGGATTCCTATTGAGCTGGATTGAGCTTTAAAAATTCATCTTTGAGCCTTAACCCTAAACCGTTGGGGGAGGTACCTAGGGGCTTGCCTGTATCCTAAGGCTATAAGATGGGACACGCCTTCACCTTTTGCTTGCATTTCCTCACGTTTATCAACTCCGTGGGAGCTCCAGCAAACAAAAGCGCTGTGCCTTCTCCTACCTTTCTCCCTACCTAAACCTTCAGCCACCTTCAGCTCAGTCCTACTGTAGGATTCCTACTGTCTACCTCTGGATTGTCCAAGATGACCCATGACAGGGTTCTCCTCTGAAAGGGATGGATAGGGAGGGGTCCACAAGAAGGACAACCATATGGTGTCTTAGTTGCAGAAAACAGCCTGAATGGTGGAAACTGGGGCAGCACCAAGATGGAATTCAGTCTACCATCTGACTCTTTGGTACTGCGTGCCTCCCTGCTTGGCTCCCTGAACCTTGCCTGGTGATGCCTGGTGAATCCTCTAGCCCAGGAGTCAGGCGGGACAAGAGGCCAAATGAGCCTTCTTTTTTTGTCACCACGCTAGGGAGTAGTATCCTCCCTGATTCCTCAAGAGTACCATAAAGGCAGCTTCGGGTACTGACATCAGATCCTGGGGCTCGTTTCCCTTCCTTTTTCTTTTCTATCTTTATCTCTTTAGGTTCCGAGTGAGAAACAATCCAGTTATTGAAGATGTTGGAGGAAGTGGGTAGTTTATCTGCCACTGGTTCAGAAGTGCATTCTCCCATGTATCTCTTCCAAATAGACTTTTACATTCTCAAAGAAATCAATCGCTCCTCTCCCTGCCCCCACTCCTCTTCCTCAGCCTGACTCCCCTGCGTGCTTGGGATGCTCCGCTGGCAGAGAAGCGAGAGACATTCCTGCAGTTCTTGAAGTGACCACTAGAGGAAGATATGCCCTAGTCTTAGGGTTCACCTAGGTGCTGTCGGGAAAGACGGGTCTAATACATTCAGTTAACTTGGATTCTAGACTAGATTCCCTAATTCTCCTGGGTATCCACTTCTATCCACTTGCCTTTACTCATGAATTTTTGTGCCTGGTCCTATTTCCATTCTATCTGAGACAGCATCTGTGCTTTACTTCATGCCCTCTGCTGAGTCATAGCTTGTCCTCAGCCCTGCCTCCCTCCGTGGTCCTGCCACCTGCTGCTCTGTCCAGTCATGCTTCCCCAATAACTAGTCCACATGGGCCCAGAGTCAGTGGTGAGCTGAGACCACCATACTGGCTCATGGGACCAACTGCTCAATGTTTCAAAAGAAATTCCAGAACTCCTGGGCAAGCTGGTAGGTTAGAAGCAGGTTGTGCAGGCATAGATGCAAACTAGATTTAAAAACACAATAGCTCTATTCATACATAAAAGGAAATATTTTTAAGGAAAACAGAAATAAGCCGAGATGGGAGTTTCTCCACCATGGAGCCAAGCCACTGGTATCAGGCACAACTCTGCTCCTGCTGGCCAACTGCAAATTAAGTATAGGTGGACACCTCAGGAGCTGGGAAGAGGGCGTCTAGGCTCTGGAAATGTAACCAGAGGCTGGATAAGGTGTGAACAGATTTTGGCTGGTGCAACCCAGAGACCCGAGGCTGAAGACCAGGAGGTATTGCCCGAGGAGACACTGCCTGGTGAGCCATACTGGACTGTGAGAGTATGCTGTGGGACCTGGTACGATGCCCTGATGGCACACAGAGGTAAGCTCTTATGTGTGGGCCTCATATACATCCAGAGTCTGCCACCCAAAACCCAATCTTTAAAACACCAGAGGCAAGACTGTAGCCTGCAGCAGCAGGTCCCAGAGCAGGGGATTCTGGCAGAGTGGACTTTAGTGGTAGAGATATTTCTCTTGTTGAATGACACTCTGACTTAACTTGTTTGAACTACTGAGACTAGCAACCCCCTCCCAACATGTGGAGACAATAGGCCCACAGTACTTATTTCTGCAGTCATTTCTCTACTTCGCGGAACTTACACCTGTGTCGTGTCTTTTCTTTTCGTAAGAACTTACTATCTTCTTCCTTTCTCCATTTCCTCCACTCTTCTGTTTCACCAGTTACATATTGGTACCCTTAGCTCTAACAGAAACAATAAACCACACTTTCCCCAGACACAAAAATGTTGTGTCTAAATTTTATCAGAGACACCCCCAAAGTGCACAAATATCTTCTGCAAAGTCAACATCAGGACAGCTGTTAAATCTCTTGGGTTACCACAGTTGTCTCCCACCTTAATATCAGCAGGTGTAGACGACGCATATAAAATAAAACAAGCAAGTAAGAGGAGCAGGAGAAAGCAGGGAACTTTAAAAAGGGAAGGACAAATCTATCCCAACAGATGCATAAGACACAACAGAAAGGTCACAAAAGCTACGAGACCACAACCCACTACAGCACAATCGCAGGTTCACAACTTCTCAACCTAAAGAAAATGAAAAAGAGCTGAAATGCCAGAAGACTGCAGAGCCCAGCTTCATAAAGGATAAATATAACCATATAGTCCCCCCACCCCTGACTGCAGAGCCCAGCTTCATAAAGGATAAGTAATCATATAGTCCCCCTACCCCTGCTGCCCAAAGCAGCAAAGAAATCAGTTAAGGACTGGAATAAAAAGCAGTAAAGTAAAAGTGATCATTAATTCAGGGGAGAAATTCAAAACATGGAGAAAAGACAGATCTACCAAGGAAACTGAGATGCAAAATAAACAAACAAAAAAATAAAAACAAAAAAACCCAGAAATCTTTAGAACTGAAAGAATCAATAAATCAGATTTAAATGGACAGTGGATGGACTGGCGAGATGGCTCAGTAGGCAGAGGCACTTGTGTACAGGTTCAATAACCCAAGTTTGATCCCTGGACCCCATCCACAAGGTGACAGGAGAGAACCAGCTCTTAAGAGTTGTGCTCTGACCACCATACTTGCACTGTGGCACTCATGCACCCACATTCACACACACACACACACACACACACACACACACACACACACACACACCCAACAAAATGTTTGCAAACTGAATTCAAGAGCACATTAAAAAGACCATACATCATGACCAGATTGGTTTCATGCCATGGATGCAAGTTTGGTTAGCATTCACAGATCCACCAATACAGTATGCTCCACAGATAGACTTAAGGACAGAAATCAAACCATCTCAAAAGGCATTTGGCAAAGTTCAATGTGACTTCATGATAAAAGTCTCAAAGTAATTTAGAAGGCACATACCACAATATAATAAATACTACATGTGGCAAACCTATAGTCAACAATATACTAAGCAGGCAAAAAGTGAGAGCATTTCTTCAAAACCTAGAACAGGATAAGGGTGTTCACTTTCTCCACTTTTATTTAGTATTGGGCTTTGAGTTTTTGCCCAAGCAATAGACAAGGAAAAGAAACAAAACAGATATAGGTAGAGAATAAAGTCAGATTATCTTTATCTGCAGATGGCATAAATATGCTTAAAAGACTTTAAAGTTTCCAACAAAAAAAATCGTTAGATTTGACAAATGTTCTCAGCAAAGTTCCAGAACACAAATCTTCATACATAAGTTTGTAGCTCTTCTATATATTAATAACAACTTTTATGAGAAAGGAACTAGAAACACACACCATTCACAGTAGCTTCAAAATTTAAAATATCTAGAAAGGATATTAAACCTAGCTAAAGAGATGATGGGATTCTACAATAGAAACTTTAAGACATTGCAAATAGAAATTATTGGCAGTAAGAATATTGTGAAAGCAGTTACATTGCCAAAAATTAGTCTACAGATTCAAGGTAATTTTCATCAAAATTCCAGTAACATTCTTCACAGAACCAGAAGAAAAAAATTCTAAAGTTCTTATACCTCAAGTAGCTTAGAGGATTCTAGGCAGAAAGAATAATGCTAGAAGTATCATAATATCTGACCTCAGAGCATACTACAAAACCATAGTGACAAATACAGCATTGAATTAATATGTCTGTTGGTAGTGCAGAATAGAGAGCCCAACAATAAACTCACACAGCTTCTATCATCTAATTTTTGACAAAGGCATTAAAAGATACCCTGGAAGCAGGAAAACAGATTCTTCCAAATGGTGTTCTAAAAACAGG